AGTGTGAGAATTTTATATATATATATATATATATATATATATATATATATATATATATATATATATATATATATATATATATATATATATGTATATATATATATATATATGTTGTTTATTTTATTTTATTATGTTTATTTCAGTTTTAAATGTCAATATTGTGTTTGTAACACACAAGCTACTTGCTAAGAAGAGACAGGTAGAGATAGGTAGAGAGAGGGAGAGATAGGTAGAGAGAGAAAGATAGGTAGAGAGAGAGAGAGGGAGGGAGAAAGAGAGAGGAAGACAGATAATTTAGGATAATTATTGGTTTGTTTTACTATTGCTATATTTATTTATCAACTCATTTCATGAACTTGTTCACTTTCTGTTTCATTACATCATTAAAGAAAATTCACTCACTCACTCACTCACTCACTCACTCACTCACTCACTCACTCACTCACTCACTCACTCACTCACTCACTCACTCACTCACTCACTCACTCACTCACTCACTCACTCACTAAGTTGTACATTTAGTAACATTATCATCTTCTTCTAAATAGTTAGAACAATTAACTATTCTATTCTAATTTGTCTTAAAAAAAGTTTATTTTTTAAGAATAAAACAAACCCATAACTGTTTTTTTATAAGGTTAATCACTCCCTTTTCTCTCTCTCTCTCTCTCTCTCTCTCACTCTCACTCTATTATTTTTATCTCTAGTTGCAATACAAAAAATAATAATCTCTATATGATATATATTTATAATTTATAAACATTGAATGGGATATTCTCTTTCTAAGTTTAGATTAAGATTCATTTATTTGATTGATAATATAATAATTTGATATAATAATTTATAAACATTGAATGGGATATTCTCTTTTTAAGTTTAGATTAAGATTCATTTATTTGATTGATTAAATTTATCATTCGGTCAAATTAAAAGTAAATGATGGAATGAATGAATGAATAAATGAAGGAATGAATAAATACTATTACTACTACAACTACTACAAAACAGCGACAACATCACTACTACAACAACATCAAATTACTACTACTACTACTACTACTACTACTACTACTACTACTACTACTACTACTACTACTACTACTACTACTACTACTACTACTACTACCCATACTACTACTACTAACTTCAAATTTTTTCCAGGAATTCTAAATTGTAAAAGTACTTCAAAACTTCTATTAAACAACAAAAACATGAATACCAACAACAACGTCAACAATAGTAGCAACAACAGCAGCAATAGTAACATCAACAACAACAATAATAATAATAATAACAATAGCAGACCAACTAACTTACCAAATGCCCTATCTACTTCCATGGACCAGGGACACAGAGGAATATATAAGAAGGAGGTCAAATTAAGCAACAATAACAATAATAAGAATAACGACGATAATAATAACAATAATAAAAACAATAATAATAATAATAATAATAAAAAAAACAATAATGTCAGATATCTGGAGCCAATAAAAATTCAACCAAACAATAGCAATAACGACTGCAGTAAAAACAACAACAACAACAGCAATAGTACTTCTATTCATAATAATAATAATAATAATATGAATAATAATATGAATAATAATAGAGAATCAGTCAATGATAGAGATCCAATATATGAAGCCATGAAAACCAACTATGAATATATCATTGAAGTTATTCTTATTTTTGTCATTTATTATTTGTTGTTATAGTAATTATTATTATTGTTGTTGTTGTAATTTTTCAATAAGCTTGGTCGAGGTTTGGCTTATTATATGTGGTTGTTTATGCCATTTGATTGGTTGGCTTATGCTTGTTGTTTCTATTTATAATGGAAGAATTTTCGACCATGAAATGTTTTTTATATGATTTTCAATTATGTTTATTTCTATTTATATTTTTTGTTTATGTTTTTTTTTCTATTCTATTTATAGGATGGGGATTCCCCGACCAGATGCCTCTTACCCGGAAGCCCTGCCTCCTGCAAAACTCAGCTCCTCCCATTGGATAGTCTGTCTTTCTCTAATTTTTCTTCTGGGGGCCAAAATAGTAACAACAACAACATTAATAATAATAACAATAGGAATGGGAGCATGTTCAGGTTGGTTTATTCTGATTTCATTGTTGTAAAAATCAATTTTGTTTTTGTTTGATTTATATTTTAACTGTTTTTAATTCATTCATCTGTGAGTGACTTCATCTCATCTTTCCATCCACTGATCAGTCGGTTTATCATTTTAGGCACAAAGTTTTATAATCAGCTGACGTGCTTCTCACAATCAACTAGCCAATAAACTTTTTTTATTCAATCAACAAGCTGACCAATCAGCGTTTAAAAAAAATCAACCAACCAATCAAATCCATCAACCAACTCAACAAGCCAATCGTCAGTAAGAAAATTACAACTCAACCAATCATAACTCGACCAAATCAACCACCCAACCAATCAGAAAACGCCACAATCCTCTTTACATCACCACTTACGACGACCTGCTTCTGTCAGGAAATGGCGGAAGTAGCGGTGGTGGCGGCGTTGGGTACTACAAAAACAATCCCAACTCTAACTTTCTGCCGTACAATGGCTGGCCACACTCAGCTACGATGGTTGTGCTTAGTACCATTTTGGTACTGTCGTTACTTGCTATAATATTATCATCCTTTTGTCTCTACAAGTTAAATGTTATCGGAGGTGAGGTTTTTTTTTTGTTGCTGTTGTTGGTTTTCATGTTGTTTGTGTGTGCGTGCGCGCGCACTCGTGTGTGTGTTTAGTCTGTGTAATTTTATGTGCTTGTTTGTGTGTGTGTATATATATATGTATGTGTGTGTGTGTGTGTGTTATCGCATGCGTGTATGTCTGCTTGTGTTTGATTGGTGGTCTGTGTATATCTATTTGTGCGTGTGTGTACGTGTGCGATGTTCACGTGTGTATCATATGAACAATTATGCAATATTCTGAACAGAATACAACATGGCGGAGATAAATAAGTCATCTCACGAGGTCAATGACCTGCTTATTCAACTGATAACATTAAGGAATGAGGTATGTTTTTCATTGTTTGTATGTATGTAAATGTGTTTGTGTGCGTGCTTGTTTCTGGATGCATGTCTGTGTTTGTTTGTTTGTATGTGTGTGTGTGTGTGTGTGTGTTTGTATGTGTACGTTTGCATGTGTATATGTGTGTTTGTTTGTATATGTATGTTTGTATGTGTGAATACATGTATGTACCTATGGTTGTATGTAGTAACCTATCCTTTTTGCCTTTTCAATCTCTGAACTCTACAGCTCACCTCATTGGCTGCCTCCATAGAGGTCAGCCAATCAGACTCAAGCTACAACATCAGCGTGGCGACGCAGAAACTGAATGACGTCAACGAAAGTTTAGTTAGTAAGATGGAGAAGGTGGAGAAATATTTTGGCCTGAAAGTTGAAACTCTAGAAGCTAACATTTATAACTTTGTACGTTTGTAGTTATTGTTATTATTATTATTGTTTATATTATTGTTGTTATTGTTATTATTGTTGTTATTATTAGTCTTTTTATTAAAATTGAATTTTTCATGTTCAGGTTTCAGTTAATCTGAGCCTGTGCATATGGAGCAAGAGGGAGGTCAATTCCATAGTGCAAGATGACGTCATATACACTGGCTGGGTCCCAGACGATGATGATTCTAAGGTTATTTATTATTCCTGTTGTTGTTGTTGTCGTCGCCATCATTATCGTTGTCATTCTTGTAAGAAAGGTTCACTGAAATTTCACATTTACACATGCACATTTACAACAACAACAACAACACCATTCACACATGCACATACCTACGTATACGATGCACTGACACTCACACTCTCTCTCACACACACACACACATCATAGACGCACACACACACATTCACGCACACACACATACACACACACACACATCTACAGAAATCAGTGGTAACTGGTGCCTCGTGTTCTAGCAAAACACCAGGCCTAAAGGTCAGCATGGAAGACGACAACGTCAGTCGCGTCAGGTGTAGCTGTAGTGGCCGCCCCAGCGGCTACATGTCCAGAAACTGTGTCGTACATTTCTGGTACTGCCCTAAATAACGAAAAACTAGATCAAGCAAGGTGATGGACTGTGAAACTGCACGTCGATATTGTCCGTCAAAAGCGAAATTAGGTCGTTAAAATGGCGGATTTGGAATAAGAGCAAGATGAGGATTGGGTTGTAGATACCAAATTTGAAATTAGGACAAAATGAATTTACCTCCAAATGAAGAAAATTTGAAGTTTATAACTACATTTTTTTATTTAGAATTCTAATTTATTATCAAATTAGTGCAAAATGGTGGCTGAGGGAGATTTAGGGATGTGACAGATTGATGGTATTATCATAAATTTATAATATATATATACTGCATGTGTGCATATTTGAAACAACAGTTGTGACATTTGTTTATTTATTCATCTTTGTTAATCATTCGATCATTTGACCTTTTAATTACTTCTATTCTTCTAATTAATTATAATATTTATAATAATAGTTATTATTATTTCATATAATAATTATACCATAAATAATTAATTAATTATTAATTAACTACATTATTAATACTGACATGATCTGTCGCTTCGTTTATCATTGCATCATGATTATAATTAGAGACACTGTTGAAATTCTTGAAATTTTTTTTCCGTCCAATCAAATACAAATACAAACAAACAAACGCGCACACACACACACACACGCACGCACACACACACACGCACACACACACACAGATACACACACCATATATATTTAAACTGCTATAGTTTTTATAACGCTTTTTGGCCATATACTACGTAGCACTGATATTAAAATACACAGACACGTACACACACACACACACACACACACACACACACACACACGTGCACATACACACACACACACACACACACACACACACACACACACTGATATGTACACACTCAGAAGAGACATATGTACACCTAATTGTATTGTCTTTTTTTTACTATACTTTGTGCCATCATGGTGTTTAAATGACAATTTCTCATTTGTTATCATTAAGTTTTATTATTAATTATATTATTATTTTTATTATTGTTGCTATAATAATAATAATAATTATTATTATTAAAGTTATTATTTAAATTTAAATATTATATAAATAAACCCTTTTTCATGACAGGTTTAGCTCAGGTTTTTTGTAGTGTCGTTTGGTTAATATATAAATATATTGAAATAATTAAATGAATGAATGTACAAATAAATAATATAATGGTGGTTTGTAAATAATTCTATTCCATTTTTACACTAGTTTTTTCTATGTGAGTTTTTCATATTCTATTTCTCCTTTATTCAGTGCAGCTATCTATCTATTTATCTATCTTAAATGTTGCGCAATGTCTTATTATTTGATCTAATTTGTTCGTTCATTCGTTCGTTCATTCGATCGTTCATTCATTCATTTATTCATTCATTTATTCATTCATTCATTTTTTA